CATGGCCGCATTGGCTCCGACGTTCTCCTGAGACGTGCGCACGTCCGTGTTGTGGCGCCATCTGCCATCCATGCCCAGACGAACCCCTAGCCGGCCTACGCGACGGCCGTCCTCCCATCGGCCTCGACATCGACAGCAACTATTCCCGGCACATCCAGTACATCCCGCCTGTCTGTGGCGCAGCAGGCACAGCACCTGCACACTCGCCCGTCGCACCTTCCTCACGCCTGGCGCACTGCGTCTCAACACCACGTCTGCTGTCCACATCCACCACCCACGGCTAGCAGCCCCGGCCTCGCGTCAGCCCTAGGCGATCAAAAGGACGCGCTCCGCCAGTTCACGCACCTTCACTAGCACATGCATCCACAGCCATGGCCGGCTTTACCCATTTCCTCAAGGTGAGTGACAGCTGTCACGTACAGGAAGCTTGGGCGGTGAGCGCATAACGCGACCCACCGCGCACACCAACCCCATGTGGAGGCTGACGATGCGCCTCCAGACCATCCTCGTACCACTCTTCCTCGCTGCCCTCCTCTATGTCCTGCTAGTCTTCCTCGTGCTGCCCTTTGTGCGCCGGCACCGCAGCCGTTATAGCCAGTACCTGCCTATGCCCGCGAGCGTGACCGACTTCCCGTCCTCTTGGCGGACGAACCTCTCGGATGCCCTATACAACCTCTTCGCGCCTTCCGCTTGGGTCAGACAGCGGGCGATTGTGGACGGAAGCGGACAACACGACGATGACTTGTTTGACGACGAGGAGGGAGAGGGCATGGTGGGCTTTGACCCCATCGATGAGAGGAGAAGAGAAGCCCTCGAACAACGCCGCAGCATCATGGAGGAAGAACGGCGGTTAGGACGTGAGCTGGAGGAAGGCTTCAAGGATGACAGTGAAGATGAGCATGAAGACGAGAGGCGGCGGTCCTTGTCACGACATCGATGATTTCTATAATGCCCTTTCTCATACAAGAAAACACGAACAATTGCACTACCGTCTACATTAGCATAAAAGCTGAAATTATGTAAAGACCTGAGGTAATGTAGACTTCTAGGAGGTAGGTGTCCGAACTTTTCGTATGAGGTGTTTGCATCACTTTGCCTACAATTTGGAACTTTCTCATGCATCACATCATCGGCTGGAGTTGGAGTTGGAGTTCAGGTGGATATATTCATGTACATAGGTAGGCGGAAATATCCATTCGACGCCCAAGCCTAAACAAAGAAATTCGTGCCAAATCGCTCAAAGAAGACAGAAGGCTGCAGAAGGAGACCGTTCCTCTACTTGCGCTGACCGTACGCCTTGGTGGCGTAGTCGCCCTTGTGGACAATGAGGTCCTGCAAAACGAAGTCAGTGTATGTCTCACATGGTTTAGAATTAGGTTACTAACCTCGGGGCGGTAATTCTCGCGGCCGGAGAAGTACTCGTCGAGGATAGCCTTGGTGCCGTTGGCGTATCGCTCCTGAGCATCGATCGAGGTACCGGACATGTGAGGAACCATGGCGTTGCCGCCGCCCCATGGGTTCTGGGCGTAGCGGAGCGGGTGGTCCTTGGGAGCGGGCTGAGGGAACCAGACGTCACCACCGTATCCGCGGAGGTGGCCGTCCTTGAGAGCCTGGGCAACGTCCTCCTTGACGACGATGGCACCACGGGCGGTGTTAACCAACCATGAGCCCTTCTTCATCTTGGAGATGAGGTCCTTGTTGAAGAGACCGCGGGTCTTCTCGTGGAGCGGGCAGTTGATGGTGACGACATCGCACTGAGCCAACATCTCCTCGAGGTTCTCGACGCGACGGCAACCAATCTCCTTCTCCTTCTCAGGGGAAAGGGGCTGGTAGTCGAAGTAGAGGAGCTCCTTGCAGTCGAAGGGCTTGAGACGGCGGAGCACACGCTCACCGATACGGCCAACAGCGACGGTACCGACGACCTTGTTCTCGAGATCGTACTCGTTCTTGGCGACCTCGGCGACGTTCCACTCTCCCTTGGCGATCTGCTCGTGGGCGGGGACGAAGTTGCGGACAAGGGTCAGGATGGTCATGACAACGTGCTCGGCGACGGAGACGACGTTGGAGCCAGTAACCTCGGCGACGGTGATACCGCCGTTGGTCTTGTTGGCGGCATTGAGGTCGACGTGGTCAGATCCGATACCAGCAGTGACGGCAAGCTTGAGGTTCTTAGCCTTGGCCAGGCGCTCTGCGGTGAGGTAACCGGGGTGGAAGCTGTTGATCGCGATCTGTTAGCTGATGCTGGCTCGGATGGTGTTTGCAGCCTTAGCGCGTCCGGCCGAAGCTTGACGCGTGCATGTGGGGCGCTTAGCGGCATTGCGGGGTAGCTCTGACGTACGGAGTGGTAATGATAACCTCAGCATCAACAAGGTGCTTGTCGAACTCGGAGTTCTCGCCTTCCTTGTTGGAGGTGGTGACGAGCTCGTGGCCTTGCTCCTCGATCCACTTCCTGATGCCTAGCTCGTTCTCGGTAGTTCCGAGCATGCGAGGCTCCTGCTCAGCGTGGACACCACCCTGGTGTTGTTGTTAGACATGCCAACGCGCATTGGGAGTACCATGGACACTTACATCATAGAGGACGAGAAGAACTTTGCCCTGTTGTGAAGCCGTCGCGGTCAGCGTTCTGAAAGCATTCGGTTGGCGGAGCGACGAAGTTAATCGGGGTCCGGCGCGTGCGCTGAGGAGGGAGGAGGCAGGGCGCGCAAGGCGAGAAGCAGATCGGAGAAATACCATTTTGACTTATTGAACTGATAGTAGAGCAATTGAGGCTCCGAGGGAGAGATATATAGTAGAAGCCGGCAAAGGTACAACGAATGGTACGTATTCCTGACGCAAGGTATGTCAGCCTATCGTCCCGGCAGGGGGGAAGTGAGGGGTGCGTGGGTCGGTATACCTCTTGCGGGCCGAAGTGACGTCGGTGTATGGTAGAGAAGTTAAATGGAAGACCGGATGCTACACTGGACAATGTTGGTGTTGTGAGAGCAATTGAGGGGTTCGTGAGGGGGCTTTTATATACCGCCGAGCAGCCGCACGATCTTCTCACTACTTTCAGCCTCTGATCCCTGGGTCACCAGGCAGACGAGGTCGGTCATCCCCACTTGGTGATGCGACATTCCCACACAGACAAGTGGTCGCTGCGGGTGTGACGGTCGTGTTTGGAATTACTTCGCATCGCTGATAGTGCGGGGTCGCGTCCAATGGCGCGAATCAGCTCACAGACGCGCCAGGGGAGCTCTACCAACTGCTTACCCGTTTGATACTCACGAAGCTTCGCCGAGAAGCCCGTAGCGTAGTCTGTGGGCGTGGGTCAACACGGTAGCTCCAGTAGCGCGTGGTCGTTTGACCCGATCGAGCAAGAATGTACGTAAATCGAGGCCTGGGAGTGGCACTTCACTGGCGTACGCTAAAGCTCCATATGGAGAGCTCCCGAATAGCTTCAATTCGGCATTGTGGAAGGATCAATATGGTTTACGGAGCTGGTATTGTGACTCTCAGAGGCCCGAAGGTCATGATGAAGTGTTGTTCGAATGGCTGTCCACAGGGCTTTCGCTGGGTTCCAGCTTCCAATGCGACCACAGGAAAATGCATCTTGCGTAGAGAGAACTGTGGGCTCGGACGACACACCCACAGCATCTCTGGAAGGTCGTGCCCGTGCTAGCGATGGCAAATCCAAGGAAAGTGGGCTTGCGTCCGAGCAATCTAGACGCCGCTTTGTACTTTGTCCGCGGCAGCACAGGAAATGCGGAGCTGCAGCGGTTCAAGCTCGCAGTCTGCGGATGCGAGATGTCGCCGTTGCGTCTGACAAAACTCGCGGGAAGCCAGGGCGACGGTCGGCGCAGGGGGTTTGTCTCGGTTTAGACGGCGGCAGGCTGGAGATTGTTCTTATCTTTCGGCCGAAGCTCGTTCGGAAGGTGCGCGCGCGCCAAATTCGCGTTTCGGTAGTTCCAGCTTCCAGGTACCCCACCACATCCACAGAATGACACTACGCATCCCTTCTCCCGATGTAGCTGAGGGACCCGATGGTGTCATTGTGTCATTTCGCCGACATCTCATGGAGTTATGTTCGGTGATTGAAGAGACTTAATTATCCAGTCCTGCTCTTGCCTATCGTCGTGTTGATCACACAACTTCTCCGGCAGCTCCGTCTCCTCTCGATCACCTTCATCACAGCTGAAGATCAAGTCATCACCTCTCCGTGCCACAAGATCGGCGTTTGCTTTCATCATAGCCCTCCTGCCGTCAACAGGTTGTCTAGAACTCTCACATTGCCACCTCATACAAGGGAAAAACTGAACAGGTCTGCAGCCTACATTAACATGGAAACCTGCAAAGTAGATGCCCCAACGCTGGTGTAGGCTCCAGACCTGTTCAGACTTGCCCTAGGTTGACGTGTTGCCGTGTTAACGATCGTGGCGGTTGTGAGGTGGGCGCTGGATAGGCAATGATGCCGCAACACCATCCCAAGGTCAGACGGTCTGTGGAAGAGCTTATGGTAACTCTCGGTGCACTATATTGATCGTTGATCTGGCTTCAACATATGAGTAGTCCCAAACAATTCTCAATTGACTGGCGACAGCACTTCAAAACACGTCAAGTAGCGGCGCACAGAAACCGCAACGGAATGGAAGATGCGCTTCATCACAATATCTCAGTTTGATGATTTTGAACTGTTTTATCACTCGGCAAATCTATCGGCTTGTTCCTTTGCCCAAGACGCGTGCGGGCCATAAAGGAAGTGAAGGTGAGTGCGAATAAGCCCAGGCTCCAGTCGCGACCCGGAGGGCAGTCGCGACCCCCTCTCAACCACCGTCTATGCTTCCATCTTCTGAACCCGACACTTTCCAATCGGGCGCGAATTGAGGTTGTTGTTGTTCTACCACGGTCTCAAAGAAGGCGAAGTCTTCACGCTGGCTATCCCACGGAAGCGCACGTCTGAAGGTGATTGATCACTAACCTGATCGTAAGAATTGTTTACTGATGTCAACACAGGCGCTGTCACAATGTCGAAAAGCGGAGGCAACGCAGAGGTCATCGCGAAGAAAGGCGACGTTATACTCCAGCTAGGCAAAGACGGAGTCGGAGAGGGTGTTCGCAACGTCCTTGTCGCATCCGTGGCTCTTAGCCTCGCTTCACCAGTCTTTGCAGCTATGTTCGACGGTCGCTTCTCCGAAGGCCACAATCTCTCGCCAGCTTCACCACGTACAGTTCCGCTCCCGGATGACGATCCTGAGTCCATCATCATGATCTGCAAGATCGCACACATCCAGACATCGCAGCTTCCCGTCAAAACTACCGCCATGGCAGTGTCCAAACTCGCGCTCGCATGTAACAAGTACGACTGCGTGGATGGGGTCCGATCATGGGCTATTATCTGGATCGCCGCCCTTCTTGAAGATCCCGACGCTGCAGACTTCGAGAAGATGCTGCTTGCTACACATCTCCTTGAGTTGCCGAGTGAATTCTCCAGGGTTTCTCAGAGACTGATGCGAGATCACAACACGATCTTCAGCGTCACAAAAGCCATGGACGGTCACGACTTCTTGCCTTTCCTGGTATATGAACACGTACTGCTTTCCCAAATAAGTTACCAGAGGGATATCACCACGGCATTTGCTTCGATCGTCACAGGCAAAGAGTCCTGCCAGGCGAGCAACCTAGCCATCGGTACTTTCCTTCAATACCTTAAGGCCGTCAATCTTTGGCCCGTCAATCAGTACTCAGTCCCGATCATCAGTTCCAGACTCGGAGCCGTGCCTGAATCAACCACACCACTTAGAAATTGCGGAACCTCAGCCTGTGTCTGCAGGTCTGCTACTCGTTACATCAAGGCCATACTTACAGCCAAGATCAATATGATATATAACAAAGTGGAGGGTCTTTGCTTAGACTGTGTTCGTCAAAAGGTACTCGGGGAGCAGAAGCGGGAGTGTCGCGTGTCCCATGTGATGAAAGAAGCAATGGTCTACCCTTGATCGCCTTACGAAATGCACATCAAGACACGCAGACGTTTGTCATGAAGTCTGGAAAATCTATGGTGTTCTCGGCAGCGCCCTACATCTTTTCTCTCGCAAGGCTTCCAGACGCAGGATCCCATGGAGCCCTACTTTTCACCGAGATTAGGCCCGAAGATAGAAGCTCTCTGGAGCCGGTTTTAGCTAAGCTTATTCTCCTTGTAACCCTGCGTATGCATTACATTCTTCTCAGATAGAGTGCAATAAGCTTTCCAAATGAACAAGACTTTCTCAATGTGACACTGTTCGAATTCGTTATCCAAAGTCACACAGTTTTCAAGGAGCTCTGCGGCACACCTCACGAATGTCCGCACTCATCAAACTCGGTACATCTCTCAACGCCATGCCGCAAGGTTCTTTGGCTCTAAACACCACCCCATTCAAGGGAAAAACCGAACACCCTGGGGCCTACATCAAATTAAAAACGTGCAAAGCAGGTGGCCCAACGGCGACGTAGGCTCCAGGGTGTTTAGTTTTCCCCTGGTATGAGGAGACACTTGCATCTCAGTCTTCGGCTCGAGAGCAACCTTATTGCGTGTCCCTATAGCCAAAGAGCTCGTTACTGTTGCCGCCCACGTATGATACTCTACCCACCACTTAATCCTTATCTCACATGCAGTGCCCTAATTTTACCTGTATCAATGACGTACAGATTCGTACACCTCTCTGTCTCTAAGCGAAAGGCGCAGTGATGGTGATGCATTGATGCATTGTTGGAAAGGACACCGACATGGTACCATGTTCATTAGATGACGGATTGGCTGGCAAAACAGCTGTAGGCCGACATGATATGGTTGGCATGGTGGCGCCCTGGAACGAGAAGATGTTCTTGTTGATAAGGATTTAGGCGCCAAACGCATCATATGCGCTGCTCTTAAGACCCGTCCGCCAGTATCGTGAATTCGTAGTTTAGCCTAGTCAGTCGCCAAGATCCAGATCCAGTCGGTAGAACTAGCTCTGATCATCCCAGGAGAAGGCGCTATTCCGGACTTCGTGAGTGATGCGTAATGCTGCCGAAAGCGCTAAGCTGGGTTCAGCGGAGATGATGCGCGAGCTTGTGGGTATCTTGCGGGAGATCGACAGGAGTGGCCAGCATTCGCCATTATCATCCCGGACTTCGGTGTCGTGATGAAGGGAAGAACTGGTTCGGGGTTTGAGGGTCTTCGGAGGGGTTCAATTGGGCCGCTCACGGGGTCGGGATCGCCGTTGTCTTATTTTCTCCTGTCCAGCTGTTGCCACTTTTTGTATGAGATGCGGTCGAACTCGATGCGTACTTATCTTCTAACCATGAAGTGGAATCGGTCATAGATGATGGAACTGGTAGGACACGAACTTCAGCTGCTCGCCATACCTCGCTTGCGCGCGACATCCAAGTCCGAGCTCGACTGGCGCCTCGGCAACTCTCGCCGCTTCCCAAATGTCCCTCCGCTGACATCTCCGTCCGCTCTCCAACACCCTGCGCTTACAGATCTCTGACATGTCTGCTTCGGCATTTCTGGCTAAATGAAACAAGCTCCAAGTCCGCCCGACGCCTGATCCTTCGATCCCTCATCTCTCTGCCTGCCGACGATTCGCCATGTTCCTTGTGATTGGGCAGTGACTGACGCTGATAGCTCTCTCGATTGTCCTGAGCTAATCCTCACTCTGTCTCCGCTCTCTCCTTTGCCTCCTTTGCCAGCTTCTTCTTCAGACGAGACTTCCTTTGAGCTGCCTTACCCTTTGGTGTCTGATTATACGCCTTGTTCTCAGCAGCCTTCTTCGCTTTGCCTTCTGGGGTATTCCGCTGCTTCTTATTATACGCCCTCATCGCCTCATTCTGTTTCGCTGCAACTCTAGGATCCTTTCTCCGTTCTTTCCGGGCCTCATTCCTCCTTACCCTCGCTTCTGGGGATATTACGTAGCGGTCTCGCCGTTCTTTTGCCTTCTTCTCCAAAGCTTCTACCTCCGCTCTTAGCTCCTCTTCACTCAAATCGAAGAAACCCTTGAGTTCATGGATTTCTCGTAGGCTACTTCCGCTGCACAGCCCTTGGTAGTCGAGGGTGGCTGGATTCCAGAAGCTCTTCTCCAAACTCTTCATGTAGTTATGGTCGTGCATTGCGAAGACGTGGCTGAAAGTGGCTTCTAATGTAAGAAACAGCATCTGAAGCTGAAAATGTCGGACTGGTTCAACTAGAGGAGCCCATGCAATTATCGATCGGTGTGCAATCTGCCAGCCAAAGTGTATGGCACCTGCCACACCATCTGAGTAGCCTTCGTCGCGATCGTAATCACCAAATCTTGTGCGGATGCCCCTTCTTTTCTCAGTCCCACTGCCGAGATACAGTCGGTAATCGTATATCCAGTCGCCAGTGAATGCATCACCTATCCACTTCCTTAGCACCAGCACGTAAAGACCATATCCATTCTTGAGAGGAAGAGATCCGCCAAGGAAGTGCTGTGCGGAAGGGGGTTCTCCAGTCACTAGAAGCTCCAGAAGGTCAGGGAGAAAAGTGATCTAGAATTTAGAATTAGTAAATAGAAATAGATAAGAATAAATAAGCAAGAAGCTAGAGAGCTTACCTGTGCTTCGCGAAGGTACCAGAGAACGTCCTCAACATCCTGAAAGATGTTTTTAACGAAGACAGGACATGTAGCGTCGGTGTCGAGTTGAAGTAGAACCGCGGAGGCGAGGGCAAGAAGTGTGTCGCTATGCTCATCTGAGGGCTGGAGAGTCGCTGCGGATTCAGTTGGTAGCTCTCGCATAGTGGCCAGGTCCATCCTGAAGATCCAGGATAGCGAGTGTGCAGAGGAGAGTGGTGGCAGGCATCGAGATTTGATGACGACACCTTCGTCATCGTTGTTGTGGAAGGTGCTCTTCTCGGAAGTGAGGTCGTTGTTGAGGAAGGCACGATGTGTGGCGGTGACACCTCATACAAGGAAAGAGCTGAACACCCACCCCCATGAACGACTTGCGAGCCGCAAGTGATGCCTCAGTCGCTACACAGCTAGAGGTATAGTGACGTGAAGACGATCGCAAGGGGTGCACCAGCCTTACGACCGCGCGCTCCCTCCTCCAAGTCATGTGCGCGCTGTCTCTCTTCTTCAGATCAAGGCCTCGCGCTCACTTTTGGCTACTGCGTCTTCTATGTTCAGCGGTGTTAATGACTTGGAAATACTCAACTTACCCCGCCTTTTGCCATTCTCACCATCTCCGGTCCAAAGACTGATGAATCAGCGGTCTCGTCATCTGGATGTAACCATGTTGCTTCTTCCTCGATCGATGGCGTACAGCAATCGTATCAATGAAAAAAGGTGTTCTGCGTTTCCCTCCCGGTTATGTTGAATGCCGGACGTTGGGGTAAGGGTAGAACGGGTGCTGGGTTTTCGACCGTCCTCAAAGGCACCAGCGAGCCTCCAAGTAGACCTCTAGAGATCTCCGTATCGTCTCCGTCGCTCACCATCGTTCGTAGATCAACTCGCACTGGCGAAACTGTTGAAAGCCTCTGTGGCTTGGCCTGGGGTCCCCTCCACACAAGTTGAGCCTTTTGGTGGCTATTATGCCGACTCGACGCTTCCACCCGGTGAGCGAAGTGATGTGGCTGGAGGGTATCTCCAGGCGGCTATTGCACGTTTAGTAGAAAGGATGGGTTGGTGGATCACTTACGATGTAGCGCGATCGGGAGGCGCGGTCGAGTAGAGGGTGAGTAGAGGGATGAGTAGAGGGATGAGTAGAGGGGTGAGGAGTGCGGTTGATCTTGGGAACGCGAAGCGGTAGAAAGTAAAGAGAGGAAATGGGTGAGACAAGCGGTATTTGTAGCGGGTGTGTGGGCGACTGTGCGCGTTAGCGCGCCTTGAGTGGGTGACGCAATATTGCAAACGGTCGCGGTGTTGACACCGTCTTAGATCTCTCTCTCACTTGATCTCTCTTACCTCCCCCTCACCTTCCTCTCACCTCCCGACTTCTTGGATCAATTTGGCGACTGTCGCTCGGGTCGACAGAGATCACTGGCAAGATGACATCGAATGACGATCTCGCTCCATTGGAGCCCCCTCACACGTCCATTGGACTTGGAGAAGAGAAACCCGCATCCGGAGGAGTCAAGCGCGACAGCGCAGAGCCCGATATTACAGCGACCAAGGACACAGCGAGTCCAGGTCAAGTTCCGTCGAAGCGTTCTCGCTCCCGCTCGTCATCGCAGTCAGAGGATGTGGTATCAAAGAAACCAAGACTGGACGATCCCGCGCCTGTTGCTACACCCATCCCCGCACTTGTTCCTACACCCATCCCCGCGCCTGTCGCTGTACCAGCCCCCGCAGCGCCGACCAATGGGCGTCAAGGCCTGCTCAAGCTCCCCGTAGAGCTGTTAGACAATGTTATGGAGCATGTAAGTAAAGAACTTGAGTTTCCAGATGCTTGAGCGAAACGCAGAGGAGCGCTGCTAACTGATACAGCTATACCATGAAAAGAAGGGTAGACAATTTCTGTACGACGTCACTCAGGTCTGCAAATATCTTCAAGCTCCCGCTGCTCGCCCTCTCTACCAACACGTCGTCATCAACATCGACCAAAGCCCGTGTCAGGACGCTAGCTTCATGGCGGATACCTATCTGCCATGTACCCTGGACCAGATGAAACTTCACCGGACGCAAACACTGACTCTCTCTGCTTCGAACGATGAGGAAGTCGGATACATTTTGGCTGAGTTTCTCATGGAGCTCCGTGACGTACCGCTGAAGGAGCTTCGGCTTACTGACGTCTCCCTCACTCGCAAGGTCGATACCTATCTCCAGATGCTATTCGATGCCGACCAAATGCCACTGAAGGACAACCTCAAAGAGCTGTATCTTCCATAGGCATGTGAATCTATCCCGCAGCCACACCGTATGATGGACTCTTCAGTCAACTACACGTTCCAGCCTACCCGAAGAGAAAGCAAAGACACACTGATGGTGCACGGTGGCGGGTACAAGGCTATGTCACACCGCAATTCAGAGACAGGCACGTCGGTGAACATGTTCCGTAGAGTTCTCGGCGCCTTTGGGTTCCCGACCGCACAAGGTTTCGAATCCGTAGCATAGTCGATGCGATGGCCCGAGCATGACTGTGCAAACATCTTCAACATGGCTCCTGCGCCACCCCCCGCCCGCCGCTGCTTCAACATCACGCATCTGAGCCTCGGTCACTTCGACTTTGGCCACGGTTTTCCCCAGGATACCTACACATGCATCAACTTCTCCAGCATACGCCGGCTCGAACTGGATGACTGCCAGCTGCTACCCCGCTTTCTCAGACACTTCATGGCTACTGACGTCAGTCTTCAGAAGCTGGACGTGCAGAACTGGGACTACGCTGAAGAGCTTTGGGAGGAGAATCCCAACGGTCTTGAGGCGTTTCTCGCTTCATTCTCGACCCTGAAAGACCTCAAAGTCGTCTCGCTCAACCCTTGGCAGCCGGACTTGGCTTGGATGATCTCCAGCCATTCCGACCTGGAGTCATGTGATCTGAGCTTTGGGGCGAACTCTCTCAACGTAGGTATGCTGAAGAAAATCTTGGCTATCCGTCCCAACCTCAAGCGGCTGGGATTTCGACACTTAATGTTTGGACTACCATGGAAGCACGACGGCTTCGCTGGGAAGATACATGGCGTTACAGGAGCGCAGATCACCGGCTTCGACAACCGTTTTGCCGCCTACGCCGAGGTTTTGGCAAACTTCTCTGAGCTGGAAACGGTCGTTGCGTACTTCGAGCCGTTTGAGAGCGATGGTGGCTCTTCCAAGGAAGGCCCAGGAGGCGACAATCCTCCTGACGACCCCATGTATCAACGTCTCTCGGATCGTATTCTGCAAGAGATCCGCAGGGTAGCCAGTAAGAACGGTTTGGGAGAGTCGAAGGTTGCAACCATGGTCCTGCACGACAAGGCTCTCGCAGGTGAGGATCTCCTCGGTGAAGAGGATGTAGTTGATCAGAACTACTATGAGAGGGAATACAAGTACAAGAGCGGTACTAGTAGCAAGATGAGCTTCCTTGCATAGATAGGATGGTAGCCACGGACACGTCTTGGATAGTTTCAGATAGTAGTCTCTACTTGATCAATACGACTTCAAAATTTCCTTCCATTCTAGTTGCCAGCAGCCAACCTCCAGCAGATATTGATCAAAGCCGCCGTGGCAGTGACATGCGCAGCAGTCCTCGGCAAAGCCACGTTGCTCAGGTAAGACGGGTAATGCACAAGCAACTTGGCGATAACATGGTAGCCCAGCAGGTTCACGATCTGTGCATCTCGAGGCGCAAGGACCTGCGCCAGCGCGGCAGCAAGGGCGAAGCCTGCGATCACGTCCACGTTAGCGACATTCATTACTGATGAAGAGCGGTCCAGTATGTATCAGCTTACCCGGGAAGTTCTCCATAAGCGCATAATGCGCACTCCTCAGCCTCAGTGGCAGCCCGTCGAGCTTGTGAATATGCTTCCTCGAATGTTCCAGATCAAGACCTTCTTCCCGTCCCATGGCTTGTCCTGCTGCGGAGAGCGCGCCCGATGCGCCGAAGGTCCAGAATATGTATAGAGCTGAGAGGGCGGGGATTGCGCGTCCGGAAGTTATCGCTGTTGTCTGGAGATTGCCATTAGTGTGATATGAGCTTTGAAGAGGAACGAACGTACTGTGACACCAGGGATCAACTTGATGAGCGCGTGAACCAGCGACTGAGTGACGCTGTTCGGCTTTGTGAGGAAGGACCTATTTGCCCAGTCAGTTCCAGTCCGGTTGAACGAACGGCTTCGAGAGTCAGAGAAGACGTACGTAAGAGGTATGGCAGCGAGATACATAGGCGCAAAAGCCGCAATCATCGCACCCGAAGGATTAGCACTACTCCTCCATTAGCAACCCATCGCATCTCGAATTCACAGCACCACAAACTCACATTCCATTCTCAGCAGCCACACGCTCAGCCTGATCCTTCTTCTCCGCCGCAACACGCTTCACCTGTTCTTTCTTCTCGTCGGCCATATTCTCGGGTTTATGTTCGTACATGAAATTCCGCAAATAGTTATCGCGCGGGAGTGGTAGACAGTATGCAAGCCGGCACGTCAGAAAGCTCCGGACCCACCTTGACTATATAGGCATGCCAGGCTGCTAAACAATGCCCATTGTCGTTTCTAGACTGGGGCCTATCGATGACGTGGGGCGCACGCAGCAGGGGGAGGGAAAGAGGTGGTGGAGCGGAACTATATCCCTCGTTTGCGATTGGCTGGCGTGACTGCCACAACCGGATGACCCGCATGTCCGTGGTTCGGAAATGGGAGTAGCCGCCGTGGTTCTGCGGGGTCAATCGGGCGTTCGTGCAGGGTATTTGGAAGCATTAAAGTTGATAGGCGCTATGTAATGTGAGGTTTGCTGCTTTCGTTATCCAGATGCAGTATCCAGACAGGTTATGTGAATGGAATATATCTGCTGTATGACCCTATCGCTTACCCTTCTCGGAATCACATGTGACAACCCTCTCGGGAACTAATATAACAAAAAAGCAAACTCCATAAGGTTACACGCGAAATCTAGACCACGTACAACAATCAAACACGCGCAAAAGCAAACACGTCCACGGACCATCTACACCCCATACCCAACAGCTAACCTGACATCCTCCTTCTCCGCCCTCAACTCCCCTCCATCGGCATACTCCCCATTCCGCCGATGCTTTACCACCATCTTCCTCGCTCTCACAACAAGATGCTCGACCACCACATCCTCCAACTCCTCAAAGGGATTGACATCACGCACCAGCATGATGAGTTGCGCGCGGGTTATGCTACGTGAGCGCGAAGCATCGTTTGGGGTTAGCGACCAGCTTTCTGTTACGAGGTCCCAGGTTCCGGCCCAGAGGTCGGTGACTAGGGTGTCGATTGCGAGGGTTGGGTTGAGCGTGGGTGTGGATGGGGCGGAAAAGGTGTGTGAGGTGGCTGATGAAGATGGGGACGGAGACGGAGAAGGGGAGCGGCGACGGCGGTGGAAAGAGCGAGGTGGTGCTGTGACGGAGACAACGGCAGAAAAGGCTGAGGAGGATGCTCGTGATATTGGGCGCGAAGACGAAGGCGTTCTACGGCGACGAGGGCGATGCCCCTTTTCCTGTCTTGTTCGCTGTCGTCCGCGTGCATTGTCGCCTTGAGTCTCGCCTTCTTCACCGTCCTCATCCTGGTCTTCATCCTCATCCCCCTCGCTATCACTCTCGCTATCCTCATCATCATCAACACCCCTATTAAACAACACAGCCCTACAACTCGGACAAGTCCCACTCGCCGCACTTCCAGATCCCAACCACTGCAGCAGACACGTCGCGCCAAAAACACACTGACATTCCGGATGTGCAGTGATCTGAACGACTTGGTGGCGGTCGGTGCAGCGCTGGCGACAGATGGAGCAGATGACTTCTTGCAGGGTGGTAGGAGTGTGTATGTGGTGTCTTATGAAGAGGGCGCGGGATGTTGAGTCGGGGTGGTAGGGCATGTTGTGCGATTGACGTTTGTTTGGTTGGATGAGGTTTTGGGTATCTTGATGTATGGTTTTGGTGTCTTGCTGGTGTATATCTATTTGCATGTGAGCCTCTGGTAAGGTAGATATATCGCTCTTGGTCGTAGTCGGTCTGAGACTTTTGATGTCTAGAGACATGTGTTCGAGCATGTCTTACTATGTCTTGCATGACGACAAGCGACTACAGCAGCGTTATGATCCAAAGCATCAAGACATGTTCTCGTATCAGAAGAGTCTTACAAGCTACCGATCTCGGTCTCAGAAGACAGTTTCCCAGATGCGAGTAGCACAATTCCAAGCCTTGACACCCCCAACACTAGTCTGTTCAAGAATAGATATTATGCCATTGTATGCTATTAAGTCGTAATTTCGTCGCTTTCATGCATAGACAATACCTATACAAAATGCTCCAGACATTAATGGGAAAAGACCAAAATCTCTGACCAAGACAGATACAAGAAGTATAGCAACTCCAGTCCCGCACACAGTGCGAGTAGTCGAGAGGGACGCTGATGATGTAAACAGAAAATGACAAAAAGGAAAAGGACCAGAAAAGAAGAAAGAAAGGAGGGCGGAAATCCCAGCAAACGCCTTTCCCGCACACTCCATGTGCTATGCAAGATGTTCCCAGGCTGATGATGCGACAACGCCCAATGGTCTCTCCGGGTAAAGCAAGCTTTCCAACATCTCCCAAACATATCATCAATCTTCTAGTCAAAAGATCTCATGGCCCAACCCTCCAAACCCATCATCCCCAACCTTGACCTTCTTGCCCTTGCTCTCCATCTCACGCGGTATACTAGGCACGTCAGGTACATCCCTACCATCAGGCACAACACGCACAGGCTCTTCGCTCTTCAGATTACTCCTCGAGAACCTCTTTGTGAGCCTCGAGCTGGACCGTCTGCCAGGGCTCTTCTTACTCGCGGTGCTCTTGACGCGTTTTATACTGCGCTCAGTGCGCTCCGACACTTCGGCTTCAGAGGCGGATGCAGCGGAGAGCATGTCGATGTCGCCTTCGGAGTCGGTGGGTATGGGCTTGTACTCGCCGTCCGAGTCGTGGATGGTGGCTTTGCGCTTCTTTACGATCTTGCCGATGCTGGCGGGGGGCTCAACTTCGACGGGGGTTGTGTTTCGTGACGGGTCTTCGTTTTCGCTCGGGGTGACGTCGGGGGTGGGTGGTGCGAAGTCGGGGATGCGTGGGACGGGCGGTATGTCGTTGTAGAGGACGGTCTGGAGCTCCTTCTTCGCAGATGCGAGCTTGTACTCGAGGTCAGAGACGCGCTTCGTGAGCTTCTTCTGCTTGTGCAGGTCTTTCTTGCTGGGGGTGTGGCGGAGGGTTGGTGTTCGCGGTGTGCGGATTGGGGTCGCTGCCTCGGCCATAGCTGCGGTCAAGCCAAGCTGCATCTTCTCAGCCGCAACAGGCTGGGATGGTGTACCAAACTGCCGCGACCTCATAGCGGGTCGTACAAAGACCTTTGGTTGAGGGAGAAGACCCAGGTCCTTCGCCTCATGGTAGGCGATTTCGGCATCCCTCTTGCGCTGGTCGAGCAATTGCTGGTGCTGGTCCTTCTCCCGCTCCGCGTCTGCGTTCCCAGCTTTGCGCTTGCCCAGAACACTGCCGAACATGGAAGCGAACGCGCGCTGGAGGCGGGCATATGTCGTCTCTGTCGGCGCGGTTGCCGATGCCTGGACGCTTGTGCTAAAGCTGGATTCCGTAGGGGTCCCGCTGCCAGAAGCTGCCCTCGAAGAAGCCGACTTGACCAGGCGGGGCATGCGGTTCGCAGAGCTCTTTCTCGACGTCGGCGGCTTCGCGTTCTCCTCGTTGAACTGCTCGATCAGCTCTTCGATGCCGATGTCTTTCCATAGCTCGTCCGGCGGCGGTCGTATGCTGCCGTTGGTGTTTGTGTGTTCCTTGAAGCGCGATGCGCGCGGCTGTGTCGACTCATCGGCGGCGTCGTCGCTCATGGCCAAAGCCGTTGCGCGTGTAATGGGCATCCGTCGGGGTGCTCGCGGCGCTAAGATACAGTAAGGTGGTGGAGATAAGAGAGCGCGCCTCGAGGAAGCGGCGAGGCGGCAACAAGGCGGAGAAGGGTCGAGGGTGTATAGCGGAGGAGCCTGAGTGTTTGTTTTGTGCAGAAATTAGTCGACAAGTTGCATCGCTGGTTGCAGCGTCGGACACGACAATTACTGGCTGCGGCTTCCGAGGTGAGGAGGACCCTGTCAATGCGTGACTTGGCACCCACTCATTGCTCGCTAGGTACTCTCCACCACGGCCCGTGACACGTTGTCTACTATCGTTCACCGCTTGCAATTTTCATCCCTTCACCAGCACATCAGCCGGGAAATCTCCACAGTGGTCGGATGAACATGTTCAGTTTGTAGTATTACCGCTACTATACACTCAATCGACCGATCTATATGCAGTTCCACGGTACCATGACTCGCACAGGGTGCCTGAGTACCCGCGCGCTAGGAAAGCAACCATGCAATCACTGTCTAGGTATCCT